CACATCGTGCCATTGTAGAGTTCCATCTTTTTCTTGGTCTATCCTTGTTGTACTCCCCTCTCTTCCTTTAGTGTATGCTTTTCTCTCTTGTAGTCTTTGAACACTTTTACGGTAGAATGCCGCTTGATCAGCATCTTTATACCTCATTGCATTCTTTAATAAATCCACTGCCGGCTTGTTAAGTCTGTCGCAACATCACTTAGTCCCCTGCAGAACGTGAGGCCCCAAGTTGTAGCTTCTTTAGCTTATACATATATCCGGCACTGACTGTATGTCTATAAAGCTCGATCGATACTTTGCGGATACTGCCTGTCCTATACTGTCTTTTACTGTTAAAGTTTATGAACTCAAGACCCGGCTTTGAGCTCATAAAATCCCCATACAGCCGGGTGTATTCAGCAGTAAATCTTTACTGCTGTCCCCAGCATTGTGTGGTAAATAGTTTATGGTTAGCTATGCGTAGGCAAATATATCCTGTGAATAGATAACTATACTGACTGCTGTGTTGGGCTATTGTGAAGGACAAAACGACCGGGTGCGCATGGAAAAGGGAACATACAACATAATGTGTGATATCAGCGGCTGGGATTTTAAATACCTAGTTGTCTTTTATCAGCGGGGATTGTGTGAATGACTCACAATTGAAAGGTGTGCATACTCGCATTCATTGTCCAGTCTTTGTACTATGGAGAAACAGATCTTCATTACTACGCCAGTATTCTAGGTGCTTAGTCTCTGAAAACTGAGACGGCTAGGATCCACTCGGAGCATGGAGGATAGTAAAGTCCTGAAAGACATCCTCTATGGCAGTGGATCTCAACTTTCCTAAGGCCGCGACCCTTTAATACAGTTCCTCATGTTGTGGCGACAATAAGTTCCTCATGTTGTGGCGACAATAAGTTCCTCATGTTGTGGCGACAATAAGTTCCTCATGTTGTGGCGACCCCCAAACATACAATTCTTTTCGTCGCTACTTCATAACTTCAAAGAATCTTTGTTTTGAGATGGTCTCTGGCGACCCACATGAAAAGCTCGTTCGACCCCAAAAATGGTCGCGACTCATAGATTGAGATCCGCTGCTCTATGGTGATTCAATAGATGGGTAGAAGGTGTCGAAACAAAAGGACTGCAGACAGGTCAAGAACTGAGCGTCTTAAAATAAAATGTCAAATACACACGAGGGAAGAGATGGTACTGAATCTAGTACGCTTACAAACATTGGGGTGGACTCGTGGGAGCAAAATGCCAGCAACCGGGTTGTGTAGAGGAGGCACACCAGGAAGGGAATGAGAATGAAGGAAGAAATGACTGCAGAAAGGATGAGAGCCAAGCGTCTGAGAAGAAACACATTAAACACCAATGTTGACAATAATGGTCCTGAAATCCCATGCTGTAATTGTAATGACTTCTTAACGCAGGCGGGTCTTGCTAGTCACACTCGCCATCGCCATGGACTGTGATTCTTAAGCCTCTCTGGACAGAAAGGTACCAACAATATCCCTGTCGATGTATATGTTTGTGCTTACAGCTGTTTTCTGAATTAGAAAAAAAAAAGTTGTAGGGCGAGGGCAGACAGAAAATAAGACGATGAGGACAAGAAATATTGGAAGACAATGCTAGATGATTAGACGGGCAAAGATATAGAAGAAGAAGAAGAAGAAGAAGAAAAGAAGAAGAAGAAGAAGAGAAGAAAGAAGAAGAAGAGAAGAAAGAAGAATAAGAAGAAGAAGAAGAAGAAGAAGAAGAAGAAGACGAAGGAATAGAAAGAAGAAGAAGAAGAAGAAGAAGAAGAAGAAGAAGAAGAAGAAGAAGAAGAAGAAGAAAAAAAGAAGAAGAAGAAGCAGAAGAAGAAGAAGAGAAGAAGAAGAAGAAGAAGAAGAAGAAGAAAGAAGAAAAGAAGAAGAAGAAGAAGAAGAAGAAGAAGAAGAAGAAGAAGAATAATGAAGAAGAAGAAGAAGAAGAAAGAAGAAGAAGAAGAAAGAAGAAGAAGAAGAAGAAGAAAAGAAAGAAGAAAGAAGAAGAAGAAGAAGAAGAAGAAGAAGAAGAAGAAGAAGAAGAAGAAGAAGTTAAAGTGGAACAGATTACCATTAAAACTACAGGGTGGACCAGACCACCTCCGGCTGCATATATGCAGCCGGACGTGGTCTTTCAGATAGCGCGCTTTTGTGATGCATATCTATAGTTGTCACGTGTTTCTGTTGCCTAGAAACAACCTAGGTATGTTCATTCATTCATTCATGCATTCTTTGTTTTTTCTTCTTCTTTTTCTTCTTCTTCTTCTTCTTCTTCGTCTGCGTTTTCCCATATTCTTCTTGAAATCCTTGCACATCAGAGGCTAGCTTCCGAGCACCTGGGTGGTAGCCGTCTGGACTGGCATGTACAATACCATGTCAACAAAAGGACCACGTTGGTAATCTAAAACTTCCATTGTGTGATGCATAGTCCCACATTGACGCATGGGATTTATGTATTTCATTCACAGGGATCAATTTGAATACTTCAAACCGTTCGGTAGCAGCTAATGCAGATGCAGACGAGACCGTCAAAAAGTCCACCTAATTCGTGTCTATTGTCCTAACAACTCTCTGGAGCAACAAGCCCCTGGATGATCTGTTATGTTTTGTACCATTGTACATCATTATCATCAGGTACTTTGCAGGTTGTCGCGAAGGATCAAGTCTGTCCTTATCCTGCGATCTTTAGCAACATTCAACCGTTCGTATGTTGACATCCCTCCTTGCCATGACAAAAAGCTGTAAAGAATCTTCTCGCGTTGTCTTCCTCTGCCACTTCCCCCCACAATTCTTTCCAGTGGTCATAAACATTCTTCTCATAAAGTTAGTTGGTATCTTTTAGAGTACACTGCAGAACTAACCCCAGCATATATATATATATATATTTGTGTGTGTGTGGCTGTTGTGGTTTTTCTCGTTAAATTTTACGGTCAGCAGTTTTCCATTGTACTAAACGGTCAGCTCTCTGTGTCACTGGCGAAACTAACGCAATACTAATCGTTTGCAGCTGGGATCGAGCCCGGCACCCCGGCGTTGCGAAGAGCATTGGCATCGCCTAAGCCACAAACGCATTCTACTCATAATATGATTAAAAATGACAGTCGTCTCGTTCTGTTTTATGTGGTAAGGTGTCTACGTCCTGCCTGTTTCAAGCCCTATTAGGAAACTCTTTGAAGAAACAAACACATGTTCATCGAACTCGGGGGAAATATGAGAACCTTTGACTGTGCCAGAGTTTACCTTTATCAGTATATATCAGTTCTCGTTATGCCTAGTGGCACATGAGGCTTCAGAGAGGATGTTCCATGCTTTCCTGTCCTGTGCAATCTTCAGTGCAGTTTTCCATGTCAAAGATGCCGCACTCAGGTCACTTTCCATCGTTCTTCTCCATGATGTTTTTGGGGCGACCTTTTTTTTTTCTCTTTACCTCTAGTATCCATGCGAAAGCTGTTTTGCCAGGTATATCAGGATTCATTCTCATAACGTGGCCAAGCCATTTCCATCTTCTCTTGGTTATTATACTGTTTAGCGTTTCTTGGTTTGTGACTTGAAGTAGTTTAGTGTTTGAGATTGTATCTGGCCAGAAAAGTTTGATAATTCTACGTAGACATGTGTGGTGGAGGGTGGACAGCTTATGTGCATCCTTTTTGGTCATTCTCTAGCATTCTGCTCCATAAAGAAGAACTGGCAAAATGATGCTCTTGTAGAGTCGGAGTTTAGTTTACCTTTATACTGCTACTAAAAAAAGACAAACGGGGTTTTGTCAAGTAAGGACAAAACAAGTTCTTTGTATGCTTCTTTTTCTTTTGTCGTCTCACTGATACCAGGTTTTACCCCCATGTCGTGGTTCGGCCAGGTTTTACCCATCAGTTCGTTGGGTTCGGTCGTCACCATGTTTTACCCCCATGTCGTGGTTTCGGTCGTCTCACTGTTATAACCAGGGTTTTTACCCATGTCGTGGTTGTTCGGTCGTCTCACTGATACCAGGTTTACCCCATGTCGTGGTTCGGTCGTCTCACTGATGCCAGGTTTTACCCCCATGTCGTGGTTCGGTCGTCTCACTGATACCAGGTTTTACCCCCATGTCGTGGTTCGGTCGTCTCACTGATACCAGGTTTTACCCCCATGTCGTGGTTCGGTCGTCTCACTGATACCAGGTTTTACCCCCATGTCGTGGTTTTCTAGTTTTCGTCTTGCGCTTCTCGAGTAGCTTGAGTGATGGATTTGTGCATCTTTTTGCAGGTTTCAGCTTCACCATTTAACCACCTCTTTCTTGATCTCCCCTCGCCTTCCTCCCGGATGTTCTGCTGTCTTGACCAGTTTTGTCTATGTGCCTTCTCGCTAGATAGCTGAAACTTTACATTCTTTGTCTTTCAGTATAATTCATCCGCTTGTGGGCTTCGGTGCCCATTTTGAGGGAAAAGAATAAACCCATTGCTTCCCCCCCCCCCCCCCCCCAAACAAGCATCGTGAAAGTTAACTAATAAGGGGTGTTTCCTTCGAAGTCGGAGTGTTTCTGCTCGACAGACCAGGAACCGGCTGTCTGCATACAAATATTTCAGATATGTAAAACGGATGTGCATGCACATTTCAACTTCTGGAACAAGACCAATTTCCAGAAGTTTACAGCCAGTGAACGCGAAGAAGAAGAATTAATAACACGACTGTCGTCCCCATAAGGGATGAAATTTTTAGTTTTTTTTTAAGCCTCACCTGGCTTTTGCCGGGGGCCTTAAATATAACCAGGCCTGAAATATGGCCTAACGGCTGAACAGGGTTTCCTAGACCTCTCCACGGGTGAACCTTCCCCGCATGGGGGCACTTTGCGTCACCTGGTGTTTATCGCTTGAATGATGTCCTGGTGGGGTACAACTTACCTACCTACCTACTAGAAGAAGAATATAATTCAGACATAGTCTTTTTGACAAACAAATGACCTCGTGTTGACTTCAATAAAATGATCGTTTCTCTATCTCCACAGCAAACATGGGTGCCTGTACCACAACTATGATCGTGATTGCCACGATCCTTGGACCCATCACATTAGTTTTCATGTCCGTCTCCTTCGGGACGAACTTCTGGGTGCAGTTCACGGTCAACGTAGCATCATTCAACAAGACCATCAGGGACAGGACGAGAACTGATGTAGGCTTCGCGCGCTACCACCTGACACGTGACAGGGGCTTGTTTCGCGAGTGTTACCCTGGCAACGAAACTGAATGTGAGTAAACAGACTAGGGGAACAAGGGGAGACGATACAGAGAAAGCATCTGGAGGGGGGGGGGGCGCAGGGAATTTGTTAAAATGTGCAATAAATAAATAATGTTATTATCCCTTTCCGTACTAAATACCCCACTATACGTTTCTTGACAATTCCACAAAACTAAGATATTCGTGCTTTTTTTTTTTTTTAAAGCAGACATCAGTTATATGAACGACTACCATCCGAATTTTTTATATACAGCTAGCTGTGTGTGTCTGTAATCCAGTCATATGCTTGTGAGATGCAATTTTTGCGTTATTTGAAGCCCTACTCTGGCTCTTGCCAGGGGCCGCAACATAGCCCGACTATAAATATGGTCTAATGGCTGAACGCGGTTTCTGAGACCTCTCCACGGTGATCTTCCTCCACATGGTGGCACTTTATGTCATCAGGGGTTTATCGCTTGTGTGATGTCTTACTAGGGTAAAAATCTACTACTGCTAAAGCTAGATGTACCTCATAGTAGTGGCTAGACGCTCGCCTGCATATCGGAAGGTTGTAGGTTCGGGTCCTGATGGTAAAAGACTTTTTTTTTTAAAGGCCCTGGCTTCCAGATGGACCCAGCCTTGGATGGGTACTAGACGGAGTCCTGAAAAGTTGACCACATGTCCCACCAAGAGTCAACTGGTCCATACAATATAAAGTTATGAAATATATAAAGTTGAATCAGTTTCATATAACTTGTCTCAGAACGCTGCTCAAAATCAAATGACAAGATAGGATCCCAAATACTATGGTTCTTGATACGATACTGAAGAATTATCAGCTGCGTTGGGCTGGTCACCTAGCTCGCATGCCAGAATATCGCCTCCCAAAGAGCAAGAGAAGAGGTCACAGGGAGGATAGAAAAAGCGATATAAAGACACTCTGAAGATGCTCTCAATTCTGTTGGCATCAAAACAGCGACGTGGGAGGCTGCTGCACAAGACCGTTCTGAATGGCGTACATCCCTCAGGTAGGGTACCTCAGCCTGCCAGGCAGCGGATGTTGCACAGGCAGAGAAACGGAGGCAAACTAGAAAGAATCGTACTGCTAATCCCACACCTACTGCGGCTTCCACATTTCGGGTTCATATTGGACTAATCAACCACCTTCGTACTCATAATCATTGAGCATTACAACTTTGGATGAAAAGTGGTCTTCATAACTCGTGATGGACAAACAACATAAAATATAGGTCTAGCCCTATTTGTCCAATTCAGCAGAAGGCGTGGAAAAGGGTACTTTACTTACTTTTCTTTACTTATGCCGCATTGTATTTTTATTTCACTCAACGTATTTGTTGCTTTTAACTCCTTGATATAGAATGGGTCAAAGCAATTGGCTTGCTTGAGACTGTAAGTGTTATTATTATTATTATTATTACACTCAGAGGAAAGGCAAGACTGACATTTAACCAGATTGGGACCAGTACCATTAGTATTAGAACTCTGCGCTGGCTGCTGAAAATGAGGACAGAGCTTACATGGGAATGCACCTAGTGCTGTGATGTCATTTCTTGATTCAACTCAACTTATTGTTATTATTATTACTACTATTGTGTGCTGAATGGTAAATAAATATTATATTATATTTGAAAGAATATTATTATACAAAACACTTAAAAAAGGGACGTCCTTGAACTGAGGATAACAGTCGTCTCATTGTGGGATTAAATTTTTACGTTATTTGAAGCCACACCCTGGCTTTTTCCGGGACCCTAAATATAGCCGGGCTATAAATATGGCTAACGGCTGAAAGGGGTTTCTGGGACCTCTCCACGGGTGATCCTCATCCACATAGTGGCACAATGGGTCACCGAGTGTTTATCGCTTGTGTGATGTCCTGGTGGGGTACAACAAGAGAGAGAGGGGGAGGGAGAGACAGAGAGAGAGAGAGAACGGACCAGGCTAGTGGATACTGACTAATCTCTGACACTGGCACGATTGCGTGAGCTGGGAGTAAAGCATCGTAAAGCACGTCTAAGGCGACTGATCCTATCTCCTCCTCAAAAGTTGCATTAAGAGTAAGTGTGTTTTTCCATAAGCGCCGTTATTCCTCGTACCACGTGATTAAAACAACATTAGCATTTTTTTTAAAATATACACAATAGGTATTGAAACGAAAGGACGTCTCGAACACGACAGAAAATATATATTTAAAAAATCGTCGCTGGGTGGGCTTGAACAACCAACCTTTCAGTTAACAGCCGAACTCTAACCGACTGCGCTACAAATACCATATCTCTCGTTTGTTCGAATCCCCGTAAAATATTCTTTCCGGGGTCAGATTTTTTGGGGTTCAACTCTTTCAGGCCCATGAATTTTGACAGACTTGGCCCAGCTTAATTTCCCTTTACAAAAATGGCAGAGAGGATGTTGTACAAGAAAGGCAATATAGAATGAAATATACTTCTAATCCTTATAAAAGCATTTGAGAGTAACCAACCGTCTGCATACCACACACACACACACAAAAACCATCTGTAGAACCAATGTGCACCCAAGCTCGGAAACAAGACCAAAGTCCAGAAGTGGGCGAACAACAAGAACTTTTTCGCCTGAGGTAATGAAGAAGAAGAGGTAATAGCCGGTGAATACTCAGAAGAAGAAAAATATAAACTGACATATTTCACTTGACCCTTTTTGTTTCTGTCATTAAGTCTCTTTCTATTTACTGTCGTTCACAGCCGCTGTCTTTATTAACTGTTATTTCCCCCCCCCCCTTTTTTTTTGGTGTCTTCCCCACCCTCTCTCTCTCTCTCTCTCTCTCTCCTCTCTCTCTCTCTCTCTCTCTCTCTCTCTCTCTCTCTCTCTCTCTCCCATATAGGTCCAATTGAATCCCTAATTTCGTCGCCTTGTTGGCTGGCTAACAAACAAGACAGTTTTAGCAAGACTAGTAACCTTCGTGGTCTCTGTGGCGCAATCGGTTAGCGCGTTCGGCTGTTAACCGAAAGGTTGGTGGTTCAAGCCCACCCAGGGACGTCTCTTTTTTATTTTTCCTTTAGGATGTTTTTGTTTTGTTTTGGTGTGTGTCTTTTTGTCATTTTGCTTTGTTTCAGAAATTGTCTTTCTTCTATGGTTTGATACCTTTTTTTTGGTCCTTTATGGATATTTGTAGAAACTTTTGATTTGTATTAAGGCGACGGAAGAAACAAGAAAAAGAGGCATGGCGAGCTGCTTTGGACAAAAAGAATTACATTTCAAAATCTATTGTTTGTTCCTCTGTTTCAGTCTTAGACAAAGCTACTGGTGTGGTAGACGACTACTGCTTCAACATCAATTACGACCAGCCATCCAACGTCCAGAATCCCAGCGACAGTTACATGACCCGCTTACGTAAGTGTCTACACCTAGTAATAAATTTGAAATTGGTACACACACGCGCGCGCGCGCACGCACACACACACACACACACACACACACACATACATATATATATATATATATATATATATATATATATATATATATATGTATATGTATATATATATATAAAGGTAAAGGTCAAGTCGGGAGATGTGAACCAGCGTCATTGCACGCGGTTATAAACCAAAAGTGCTCTGCCACCAGTACGGACAGCTGATAAGAGAATGTCCGCCTGTGTCGCCGTCCGCACGTAACTCCGTAGCTATAGCGATGTTCGTTCATTTACCCCAAAGTGACAATTCTGGTACCCATTTCGTAGACGCTGGGTGAACCCCGGAAACAGCCCGGTTTCGAACATCAGCCGTGGGCTGCAGCGAGTCGCAGCTGGATTTGAAAGAGTCTCCGGTCGACTGCGCTAAACCAGAGTATATTATATATATATATATATAGTATCGACTATAACGCATATATATATATATTTATATATATATTCCCATGGATAAGACAGCAGGGACGTTTCAACGACAGGCTTTGTCAACGGTAAAAACCAAATACACACAGCATGTAAAAACGGTTTCAGTAGTACTTTCTGGTAATTAGGTTGTTTTCATTTGGCCTACAGATCTGAACAGATCCTTCCTGGCATTTTTCGTGGTGTCGATAGCTCTGTTCGTCATCGCTTATATCTTCGGCCTCATCCTGTGCTGTCTACGAGCTGCCAGATGGGCCTACGTAGCCGGAATCGTCTCCTACTCCTCAGGTATGCAGTTTCATAAATATATTACATGTATAACACTAACAATGTATTACATTACTAACAAGAAGCAGGGACGTCTTCTTTCGCACCACATGCCAGGTCATCCTGTCTTTCGTTATTACTAATATTACAGCCCACTCCATCCACGTCTGCCCTTTGCCCTGTCTTGTTAACTAATCTATAGTTTCTTTCTGCTCAGCTCGCTAGCTCAGTTGGTTAAACCTGACTGCGCGGCGACCGGGTGACGAACTCCTTGGTCCAGGTTAATGCCCTAGGTAGGCAGAAAAGCCACATTTCTCCCAGATTTACAGTATCTGACATGGAATTAAGACCGAAGGGCTACAGTATCCATAGTACCGAGCCAAAGTGTTGACAACTTTTGGTTTCTAGATATTAAAAAAAATAGTTTCTTTCTCAGTAATTCTGTGTGTGTGTGTGTGTGTGTGTGTGTGTGTGTTGGGGAGGGGGCTGCCTTTATTCCTATCTCTCTGTGGTTTCCATCGTAAAGAACCAGAAATCGTCCTCACCACCTAAAAAAAAATAGTGGCTGGGGGGGGGGGGCGCTCTGACTCCTTCAGCCAGCCCCCGCGCAAATAAATTACGATAACGTTGGGGGGGGGGGGGGTGGAGAGGGTAGGGAGGGGGAACTGAGCCACACCCCTGCTCCTTCACAAAATGTATAGGCAAATAATTGTGGACGGGGGATTGGGAGGGGGGTTAGGTTCTTGAGTGACACCCCCTCCCTCAAAATAAAGGGAGTGAGTGACTGCCTCCCAGTTTTCCTAAGTTATCTTCCACCTTTTATCCTTCAGTGGAGGATAGACCTCAGCCAAAACATTTCATGTCGTTTTATCCTTTGGTGCCGCATGCAGTTCCTCCTATGTCATCCCTCAGCTGTTACCTTCACTCTTTAGTTCCCATCTCCATATATTTTTGGTCAGCCTTTATTATTTTGATATTGTGAGTTTCAGTGCCAAGACAACGTAATTATATTGTTCTCATATTTTCTCAACATTTGTCCTATCCAACGCCAGCGTCTTTTCCTCATCGCTTGTTAAGTAAAATCAAGTTTTATGTGCCAGTTAATTAATTATTTGTATTCATGGTTTGAAATCTGGCCCTTTTCAGCTTTCTTCCTGGCAGCAGCAATAGCATTTTTCCATGGTGCAGAATACATAGAGAGGAATAAACTTAACGGGGGACCTAACTCTAACGAAGCACAGTTTTACCCCAGCTGGGAACAGGTGAGTTGAACTCTTAGCTGTGTTAGTAAATATCACGGGCCACTGAAAGACTTTTTGTCTGCACTGCGTGCCATTTGAGATGAGTTAACGACATCATCATCATGTAGCAGGTCCTAAACAGAACGTGACTATGACGACCGGCTCCAGATATATCTGGAGAAGCCCGTGGTGACTTTGTATCCCGCTTGAAAGAAATTCGGTTTCTCGCCAGCTCTCCCGCCCAGTGTTGCCACTTTTCTTTGACAAAAAACATCCAAAACGGAGTCAAAAAATATCTAAAAACATTTAAATTTGCGTGGAAAACATCTAGAAAAAAAAACATCCAAATGTAAAGTCACAAATTACATAGCAATTGGTATGACTTACCCTATCATGTCCTCATCTTTAATGAAGTCTGCCATCACAAGAACCACAGGATAAACTTAGCTTGGATGATAAAGTTGAAGCTATAGATACAAAATGAACCTGGGATGTTTTAGATGTTCTAATTTCTTTTAATACCCAATCAGGGAGCTGATAAGTTGAACAGCCTTTTCCTACTCTAATCAGACCGAATTATATTGTCAAGATAGCGTTAAGTAGGTCAAATTTCATCCTGTTTCTTAGGTTAGGTTTGATACATTCACTCCAAATCAAAAACATCTAGAAAGACATCTACCATCTAAACGTCAAAAACGCCATCTAAATGCAAGGGAAAACATCTAAATCTGGATGTAAAACATCCAAAGTGGCAACACTGCTCCCGCCTTGTACACTTTTCTACCCAAGGTATCACTTATATCCTGTATCTATCTTCAAGTTGGTCGGCCCCTGTCCTTTCCTAGCACCATGCCCTCTCCCACTAGTCCTTCTTATCTCCCCTGGCACTTGGTATAGTCAACATTTTTGTTTCCGAGTCAAGACGCTGTTTACTAGCCAATCTTCCTTGATGTTCAGATCTTTTCGAATGTCAATATTTCTAATCTTCTCGGTCTTTCTATAGCGTCTCAATTCAAAAAACCCTTGTGTTCTTTCGTAATGCAAGTCCGTGACTCACATCCGTTTGTTGCTATAGGAAAAAGGTGAAACTGCAGACTGTCAACATTTTGATTTTGATACTGTCGGCGACATTGTCTGCAACATCACTGACATTGCCGGCTAGCTCTGGTCATCTGTGTGTCCATCACTGTTTTTAACTGGGCCCGGATCCCCTCTGCGATCCACTGGCTTCTAACGCCAGTTGGGGAACAATCTCCCGTCTTTCACTAAATGCCAGAAAGGAAGTATTATTAAAATATTATGTCAGACCGGATCTGCTGTATTGCTCTGTAGCTTGTAATGTGTAATGAGCAAATTATGAAGTAGAGAAGTGGTTTCTGGGAAAAATGTTGCAAATACCTTGCACTGGAACATATACACACACGTACGAACGTGCGTGCGCGCGCATACACACACAGAGTAGACGGAGAGACAGATACATAGAGAAGCGAGAGAGAATATAAGAGATGAGAGAGGGTATATATATTGTGGGAAAACAAGAATAGACCAACTGCCTACCTTAAAGAAGCATGTCCTAAGAATCGACTAACTCTGAGCTTCCTTCGAAGTCAGAGTGCATCTGCCAGAGCGGCAAGGAACAACCACCTGCACACAAATAAGCCAGTAAAACGGATGTACATGCAAAACTCAGGCCCAGGCACAAATGGACGAACAACCAGGACTTAGGCCGGAGCTTTCAACCGGCAAACAAAGAAGAATATATATATGTATATATATATATATAGAGAGAGAGAGAGAGAGAGAGAGAGAGAGAGAGAGGAGACAGAGAGGGGTGGGAAGAAAGAAAGATAGACGAAGAGCTAGATAGAGACAGGAAAGAGAGAGACAGAGAGAGGGTGAAGGGAAGAGATTTGAGAGACAGAGACAAAATAAAAGGATATGACCCGCCCTAGAAAGTAAAGGACCCTTTCCACGCCTTCGGGCGTATTGGGCATATAGGGTTAGGCTAGGCTTATATTTTACAGACCAATCGACACTCAGTAGGTGATGTCAACATCACACCAACCGCCTTTACTTCCCATGACTTTACCTGGTACCCATTTAAGGCTGGGTCGACCTGGGAGCCAGAAGCAGTTTACCCTAAAATGTAACTTGCATGAATTTAATTTCACTGCGGCTAAGCAGACTGGAATCCACATGTGCACGCATAGTCAACTGTTTGTTTTCTACTGCCACAGTACCTCAAGGATGCCACAACCCGCCAGTACGGATGGTCGTACCCTTTGGCCTGGGTAGGAATGATCCTAGCCACAATTGCAGCCACATTCTACTCTCTGGCAGGTTGCTACATCGCCAGCGAGTTCTACGAAGATGAAGAAGTTCTCCACAAGAGCAGACACAGGAACTACCCTGGTCCTGTGGATCCCGTGTATGCCATCGGGGCCGACCCCTACTACACTAAACACTATGGGTATCCCCGGGCCTTTTTAGGACCCTTAGCTCCAGATTATTATGCCAGGACATATCCGGCTATTGGCTACGGGGATCCTAGAAATGACATTTGGCACTGGAGAGAGGTCGAAAGTTAGGCTTGCCACATAGGAGAAAACACATGTCATTCTTTCTGACCCACAAATGTCAACGGACGAGGAAACCTTGAAACCAATGAAAATAGCAAGAACAATAAATATTGATGGGCACTTACAGATGTAGAGGAAAGGAACAGAGATTGAACGTCAAGTGTTTTTTTTTTTAAATCTGAATTTAAGAATATACATGAGGACACACAAGACCAAAGATGCGCTGTCTCCCACAGCAGCTATCATCAGCCATTTATTTCAGGACCCACACAATGAGCTCCACCTCCATGCATTGTTAGGCATATGTGTTAATAGTTTTAGTATATTGATTGTAAGCATGTAATACTGTTGTTCTCTAAGTCACTCGAGAACCGACTTATCGATCTCGTGTGCACTAATTCACACAGGAGACTTTACATCCAACAATTTTATCTATTATCTATGAGCCATGACCTTTGTTACTCCCTGCTTTTTTTTGGGGGGGGGGCCAGTATTTAATCCAAGTGGTCACACACGTGTAAGATATTCTGCCACCCAGACAGAAATGTGATTTCTATCAGAGATACCTAAGTTAAGTGATGCTGTGAATTCTTGTTTGTACTTGTAAATTGTAGATTTCTGTAACATTCTGATGAAGGCTCTCTGGCTGTAACGTTGACTTGTGGTTTGTAATTTTGTGAAAACCGTTTCACTGTGTTGTTCTCATCAGCCATTTCTTTTAGGACAATCACAATGAACCCAACCTTTATGCATCGTTAGATATGTAGTTTAATTTAAGACAGGACACTGGGCCCGCAGCCCTGACGCAACAAAGAAAACCAGAGGGGGAGAGGGGGGGAGGGGTTGTTAAGCCCCCCTCATAAAATTTCTGGGGCCTTTAAGTGGCTTAAGCTTTTTTAAAAGTGTTTATTAGTAAAACAAATAATTTGAAATTTATAAACAAATACTTAACAAGAGAACTTCTATTCATGGTTCTGAAAAGGGGGGGGGGGGGGGTTTTAGCACTTAGGGGCTCCGGCATCAGCCAGGGTGGGGCTACAAAATAATGAGTACGACTTATATTAGCTATTGTTGTGTATAGAGTATGTTCCATGCTTTTAAATTTTATATTTGGCTTCACATAAGCTTATCTGGCTTATCTTTATGCATTTTCTGGGGTGGGGAGGGGGGGGGGGCGTTCTTAAGTGCCCTAAGCCTCTGTCTGCATTGAATACTCCCATTGTGTTCCTTTGGCAGTGCAGTATATTTGTTACTATAATCTGACATATCATTTGGAGGTGGCAGATTCGAATTCTTGTGTAGTCACTACAGCTTACAATTTGTATATTGTCTAGCTCTATGTGTCCTCTAATCTCTATTTTCTCTCCTTCTATGATTGCCTATCTACATTTCTGTCACGCCCTTATTGTCCCAAATAGCGCATCATATAGACTGTGTTAGAAAGTAAGTAAGTTTTACCCCACGGGGACATCACACACAGCGATAAACATCCGGTGACACAAGGCGCCACAATATGGATGAGAATTACCCCGTGGAGAGGTTCCAGAAACCCCTTTAAACTGTTAGGTTATGTTAGGGCCTCCGGCAACAGCCAGGGTGGGGCTACAAAATAATGAGTACGACTTATATTAGCTTTTGTTGTGTATAGAGTATGTTCATGCTTTTAAATTTTATATTTGGCTTCACATAAGCTTATCTGGCCAGATATATTAACATATAGAATAGTATGTATTTTTCATTACGATTTTTTGTGGGTGTAAATAACTCCCCCTTTCCGGGCCTGTGATATGACAGACTGACATCCAAAGTGACCACAGCAGCATCTTTTTGCATGAAAAGCCAACAGGAGAAATCCCAGACTTTGAGATTACAACATGTAGTCCTGTAAGGGAGATTATCTCCACTTGATGTCTGCTGCAAACCTGCTCTAGGCCAAAAGAGCTTATAAAAAAAAAAAAAAAGTAAAGTAAAGGACCCTCTTCCACGCGTTCAGGCATATAGGGCTAGACCTATATTTTTATAGACCAATCGGTACAATATGGGTGATGTGGTTAGCCTTTACTTCCCGGGACCGCACCCGGCACCCACTCAAGGCTGGGTCGACCTAAATGAGCTTATAATAACATATTATTGTCGTTTGTACAGTCAGGATCATCATAGTCATTTAAGATTTTTTGTCGATTTTTTTTTAATGACATCTTTGGGCAGTGGCTACTGGGCCTATATAGTAGTTTTTAAAAAAATGTATCCTTCTAGATTTGCATTCTGTAGGATTAACATCTCAAGGGTGAGAATCAAACAACTACAAATCCCCCAAACCCTGTTCAGTCGAGCCATATAGCACAGTTATATTGGGGCATCACAAAACAGTTAGGAGGTAACATGCAGACCAGTGTAGGTGAGTTGTGATGGGATTTTAGTGTGTGTGGTCAGTTTCACATAAAACTTGCTATCTGTGGCCTGAGTCAACAAAACTGTTTTCTTGGTCAAAGGTAAGATAGCAATTTGTATTTAGTGATTACAAGTACTCACCTTCACATCTTCTTCTGCATTCATCCAAAGATGTAAACGGTCGCCTTAGTACTGTTACTGGTACCATCCGAGTTAGAAACTCTGCACTTGTTGCTGAAGATGGGGATGGAATGCTTGTAGGAATATCTCGAGTGCTGTGATGTCGATCAACATTCAAACACATTACTTGTGTGAGATGACCCCCAATAATATATCTCCTACAGTTCTTGGTGTTGGCGTCTGTGACTTAGGGTTGCAAACGGGCTTCGTAATGCCAGGTTCAATCCCAGCTACGGGCCTTGCTCCGGTTTCGAACAGTGGTATCGAGAAGCTGACCGAAAGAAAGACAATGGCAAACTACTGGACAGTTTTAATTGCCTAGAAAAACATAAC